GTAACTACCACACGTTTATGATGCACCCTGTATATTGGAAAGTAATTTTAGAATGTGGACCTTTTAAACGTGAAAAACTTTCGTTGGACGAATTTTCTTGTAAACTTCATATTTACTGAGATATCGCACTTTGACGCACTAATGAGCAACCCTGTATATATCAAAGACATTGACTAATGCAAGAACCAACAATATTCAACGTTTCCAAGCCCACTTACTTGACTAAACCAGATAAAATCTAAGCTTCATCAAAAAACTCATGTACAAACTAAGAAACCTGACCCGCTATACCCTAAAACGCGTACTTAAACATGCTTTCGCAAGATCTGGCTTACAAAATTCAATGGGGAGATACACATTTTTTCTCTCTTGCCCAACACCATACGAACAATACCTGCCATTGTTGCTATTGCTGTTCTATCGATAGGAACAGTAAAATATATGAGGTTTTCATGACCCTGCTTAACACCTGCTTAACTTCGACAGGAAATTCATTAGGTGTTTTGTAAGAATAATATTGCTAGCTTGTTTAAATGAAGTATTGGTTTTAAAAACGATTACAGATGTCTTTCATCGCTAAGTGTATTATGAACAATGTGAAGGCTAACAGATTATGATCTGTTTTTAAAACATTTTTTTAAGGAAAAAATATGGAAATTGGCACAATTTTGGCAAATACTTTAGCCACTGGTTAGCTCTAACTACTCCTTGAGGATATTTTAGACAAAAATCATCAAATATTGTTTAACAATGATAGGGCGTACAGTAGACCTAACAAAATACTTAAATAAATTAAAATATTTAATATTAGAATACGTAATAGTCCTATTTAACAGTTCTTCTTTGGTGGTAACAGTAGTTTAACGTTCTGCTGACATTAACCCCTTGGATTTTTTTATTTGGAGTCACCTCGAAGCATTGTTTTACTCTACTCCTGTTACCACTTAGTATTATTAGAAATGACCAAAATATGTTAATCCGGGTGCAACTAAAATGTTTAAACAATTTTGCAAAGTGCATGCAAAACAAATAGGACGCATTTTGAACATCCACCTTAGTTAATAATAACAAGGATTTTATTTTAAGGCTGCTATAAGGAAGCTAGATCGAAAAAAAATGTACTTGCCTTATTTTCAGGTCCTCTGTACGCCCTATAATTGTTGATCGACAATTTCGGGTTACTCTGTATATGTATGTAGATATTAAGGGACTTCTCTGCCAGCTTCCCATCTTTACATTTTCTTTTCTTTCAATTTGAGAAGAATTTATTCTCAATTTCTCAAATGTTTGACCATTTACTTTCTGAAATATTTGCAATTTTAACTAACTCGAGCATTTTTTTCATACAAACACTTTGACTCATTATTTAGAATCTCTTTATCTGATTTACACGAAATATAATAGACGCGCATCAAAAGTCTAATTCTAGTTTTCGTAGGCAGCCCAATAAGGCAATTTGAGTTCTAGTTTTCAACTTTTGTCAGTGAGAAATATTAGCAAAGACTATTTAATTGTTTAATGGAAACGTGATCAATACCCCATTTTTCTTTCTTGGTCGTTTGTACTGAGCTATGAATAATGACAGCATTGGGGATCGGTCGGCTTTCATTGAAAGTGTAATTGTCCGGTCGTGAATCATTTATCTACGGTTTCTAGAAATGTATAATTTAAGACCGTTTGCTAAACATTAATTGCATTACGTTACGTTCAATAAGTACTTACTTCTGGCCAGTTCCATACCGAGATCGTAAGAAATTAGTTAGAATTTGGAGATTATTGAAAATTTACGGTTGGTTGATCTCTGCTCAGTCGTGAGTTCTCAATCAAATGTGAGAGCTTAAAAAAAAATATATACCGTAGTATAAAAATCGCATGGATTTAATTCACTTAAGTTTTGTATGGCGCAAAACATTTGCTTTTTGCCTAAATTCAGTCGGTGAAATGATATTTTAATAAGCTAGTTTTCCCTGAATTCTAAATATGCGCTAAGAATAGTTAATTAATCTAAAGGTTTCGTTTCTTGATGCCGCTGTTTTCCTTCTCAGACTTCTGCGGTACACACCCATATCAAACAAATCATGTTTAACAATTCTTAACTAGTCTAGCGATTATTTAAACAATACACGTTTAATCAATTCAAATTTTCCATAGAATGCAAATTAAATATATTCGCGATCGAACATAACAAGACCATATGGGAGCATGTCGCTGACATGTTCCATTTTTCAATTGCATTGCTTTATTATGACGGATATGATTCAAAGCACCAGAAATAAATATCTGTGTGCAACACGTCACTCAACAGTCACTAAATACCGTGTGTATTTATGGCTAATTGTTCATTGGAATGTTTAAGCAATAATTTACTGAAAAGAATAGCAAAATATATGTCTCGGAAATACCTACGTGAAATTATATAATGTGAGTGCTTTGGTAGCCGGGAGATAAACACCGGACTGGAAATAATTAGTGGCTGTACTGCACAATATAATGGGCGAGAGCATCAAATCTATATATTTTTGGGCTGTTTGTATCATTAGGCGTCTAGGAGATTCTACTTGATCATTCAAAGAATGCTTACAATCACTTTAGTTCCAAATTATTTTGTAATCATAGTTAATACCTTGATTGCCCTTTTAAGTCGTTTTTTATGTTCAGTTTTTTCATCGCAGTGTTCTATCTTACACTATGCTAGAAATTAATCTCATGATTGAAGTGGAATATAAACCTGCGGCATTTGAAATTTAACATTTAGAACTCGATAGTATTTTGAGCAAAATAAATCAACTGATATGGAAGTCGTTTTGATTTATATTATTTGATGTAATGAGCTACTATTTCCTGTAACTTGTAACACCTTGGTTGGTTCCGTCGCTTTGAATCGTTATTTTCAAAATCTACATATTGGGATTGTAAGTGTTTGAGGTTGTTTTCACGTTTTGCCATTAACCCACATAGAAAACTGTCATGAATTATATCTATATTTTACTGCTTTTCCAATGCCAAGCCTTACCTAGCATACATTATTTTTCCAGGTATATCGATGCGTAATATTTTGTTTTCTTATTAGCGTCACTAGTCGTTTCTCAGTAAATCGCTGTTATCTTTAGATGCAATCGGAATAAAAGAACATATTCATAGAACATTGGTAATTGTGTTAATCGACTACCTTTTATTATAATATAGACCTTATAAAAGTTTCTGAGTAGATTTCGTAGACATATTAAATGAGATCATTGAGGAAGAAGTAGATCACTAAGAGAAATATTTATTCGTTATATTGCATGTTTTCCTGTTCAATCACTCGGAATGATCTGAGCGATACATCCATGAAGAAAGCAACATATTTGAAATAAAAAATTACTCATAAAATCGAATGAATCACACATTAATTATATTAGTCATAGTCAATTGTAATATTATACTTGACTGAACTGGTTTTGTGTTTTTAAAGCAATTTCAACCTCGATCTTAGTAGGATAATATCTCTTCAAACCACACTATCAACACCGTACATAAAAAACATATTCGGAAACGTGTATATTGTATTGTTTTAGTGAAGTGAACCACCTGCAGATCTCATTAAGCCAGTCGAGTTAATTGACTATATTTTTTTTCATTTTGATCATATCCTTTATACACTTATATTCAAAGTTTGTATCTGGTTGTGAAACCAGAATGATGTGTTTTCTTAACAAAACATTTATGAAATCCGCAAAGAAACAACTAATATTAAATATTTAAATTATTACATATTTGTTAGGGAAATGTTAGATTCGTGATCTTTAGATTTGACTAAATGTATGACTGCACTTTTAAATGTCTATTATGTTATGTAGATACCTGACATATGTAAATCTTTATGTTTAACATACAATTTCAATTATTCATCGAGTCAAAGTGTAAATGCAGACCTGTTGAAAACAATATGAAACCTCTGCTAGATTACAAGCTAATCTGAGTGGAGAAAATATAATTCAAGTTTATTCAGAGATTTTGGTGATGTTTTATATGCAAAAACTGGAGAAGAAAGGATTAGTGCCAAATTAAAAAATGAGCCCTATTTAATCAAGCTTACACAAAAACCGCTAGAAATTTAATTCCGATTAGGTTTCTTCGAAATGTTGAATAGGAAGCCTCATTAATTTGGGCAATATTATCTATTAAGTAGATTATAATTAAATTGTGCTAAGTATTCTGCTTAATATGGACATTAATTCTTCCTTCGGGCTAGCCAGATGTCTGACATAATTACTTAAACATAATTGCTTTATATAGCAAGAGCATATAAACAAACTTTATATTTTGTAATGTGACCCCCTGAGTTTTCAGAATACCTTTAGCATGCAAATGTATGCTACATAATTGCTTTACACATACATTTATAAAAAAATATTAATAAGTCTATAAATCGATTTAGGTAGATGCCCAAATCCATTTAATTACGCACATACACAGATACCTTTTTTCTTAGGAATTACAACTGAAAACTTTCTAAATTTGAAAACTTTTCAAGTACCTTCGAACAGTTTGTATCCTATGCAATTTTTCGTCCTAACTGTGATATAAAACCCATGTTATATGGAGAAAGGGCTGGAAACGATTACTAGAAGTAAATAACTGAGCATGATAAGATCAGGTCTCACCTTAAGCAACAACATTTGATTGAAAAGCATAAATTAAATTTTGTAATGTAAAAAATTCGATGTGCGTGCTTGATTTCAATAGTTGATTGATTGATTCCATAATTATATGCCATTCTATAGTTGTATCTTTAATTAAAGTAAGTATTAGCAACCAAGCTATTAACAATTTGCTGAAATTAAGCTGAATAAGGCGTGTTTGGTTACTAAAAAAATGCGACAACTATTTACAATGTGCTTCTACAGTTTTAATTTTTTATGTCCATTTTTTATTGACATGAAAATGTAATGATGGAACTTTGGCTTGTACCACAATTAAGCTAAATTATGCAGTGTTTAGAATGCCGTTCAACTCACATAAACAATATTTTCCCTTGCAACAGCACAGTATCCAAAACTCTCACCCGATTGTCCCTTCAATCGCAACTCACTAGATCCGAAAAAAAATCGACATCAAAACAAAGACAGTACCGCTAGATGAATCCCATTCACAAACGGGTACCGAGCACGCACGTGTACATTAAACGATGTATTATCGATCGGACTCGATCCTGTTCTATTACCATCCAAAGACGTACCAAGTGTTAACAATCGCCGGACGATCGTGGAGAACAACTTTACCTTCGCGGCCTACGGATCACCTTGCTCTCGGTACCACTGTCATGTGGGTGGTACCTGACCGGAGTCTGCTGATTTTTTGGTGGATAACACAATTATTGGATATTGTTTGATGCGGACTGTGGTTTATAATCCACTAATTTACTTATGCATCAACTCAAAGATTTTTTCATAGTCGCTAATTCAATCAACGGCAGATTGTAATAGTTCGGTTAGTAAGTTGTTAGAATTATTCCTGGATATTTCCTCATTCAACTCACCTTTTTATACTCTTTCTCCGCCCATCGCTTTTCATTCGTTTTACTTTTGTTTTAGTTAACTCTTCTAGTATATGCAAGTTTAGTTTTCATTTTGCTTAGTGTTGAAAGGCTTTTTCAAACATATACAAATAAACAATAACATAGAAAGCATAAAGGTGGCCTTTTAATATTGTCTTCAGCAAACAGCATACTATCTCAAAACAGTTGTTACAAATTGTTTCAAAACAGCTTTATTTTCAATTATATCAATTAAGCGCGCAAATCGAAAATCGGTTCGAATTACTCGCGCTAGAGATTTTGGGCTAATCATTTTTTATTGTTTGACGCTCAAGCCAAATCTAATTGTTTCTATTTAAGGCAGAAGTAATAAATTACTGAAATAAATTGCGATATCCGTGAGCTCATACCTCACGATCACAACAAGGCCTAATCGTGTATACGCTAATTTCAAAACACTTGTAGGCTCGGCCACGCCTATGCCAAGCAACTATTCTCACATTTTTCAAGTATAATTATTTCAAATTATCTTTATCTAGATGGGAACTGTTTTGGGCACGCCTTTTATTGAGAGAGTTTAGTGCAGAAATCATTAATTTTGAATTTGAAGCATATTTGACTGTTTTTGGATCCAAGTTTATATGCTCTGAGCAAAGAAAGAAAAATTAATTAGACTTTTGAAAGTAGTAAGATTTACTTTCATAACAGTTCTCAGATTCGGAATATTGAATCGTTTCCACTAGAGTAGTTCATGAGAGAAATTAAGTTTTTGCTAGTTTTAGCAAGGAACCTGATTTTAAAATTCAACAAATGCAAACGAAGATAAAATATGGTATATGGTGGCTTGGTGTGTAATGGTGTGTAATGGTGGTGTAATGATAAATTGCCAAATTGTTATCCGCTTTTCATCTCTTGCTGTTGCTCTGTTCAAAGCAACTATTTGGGCGCAATTTTTTTGCTTAGGCAAGGTCTTAATTTAAGTTACTTTTTCTAATCCCTCTGAGTCTTGTACTGAGAAGACATACTTTGCTTTAAGGTCAGTATAGAAATCTCGCACACTACTATTTGACAACACCATATGGAATTATTTTTCAAGCAACTTTTTACATTTATGTTAGTAGATTGTGCTATTTGTGAAGAGGCGTAATGTCAAGCCTACACAGTATTCGAAAATATTGGTTTCGTTTCCCATTCTCTTATTTTGAACTTGAATATGAAATGTGAACAATTGACTATGTGATACTCGAATAAATTCGATTTGAGGGAACGGGGATTGTATTGTGAACAATCTGCCTAATTTTATATGATAAATGGTTGGCAATTTTCGATTGATAAAAGTCAACACTGATTAAAATTTTGCTGCATATGAACAATGCTTCATATGAACACAAAAAACATGCTTCATATGAAAAAATATAATTTTATAGCAAATTATTTTCGCTCAAAAGCAGGGAATAAATGGAAAATGTTTAATTTCAACGAGGTATGTATGCTAAAAGTTGCTCAATGGCATCTTACTTTGCTTAAAAATTATCTCACATTTTTCACAATAAATGCGTACATTAATTAGTGGGTTTATACTACATAACAGCATGACCTTCTGATTTAAAAAAAAAATAAATTAGTTTAATTTTTGGTACCTATACCCTTAATGAATAATTCAATACTTTGGCGACTGAAAATCGACGCCCGTCATATGAAAGTGAAATAGCCATGTTTTTACATGCATGTTACTATACTTTGTGTTTATTCTCAGTCTTTTCTGGATCATCTAATTTGCTGTTCCATTCTTGGACTTCACCAGATGCAAAAGCAATGAAGAAAAAGTCGCTGATTATGTACACTACAGCCGACATCATAAAAATAATTCTCCATTGGCTTTGATTCGACTAAAACATTTTTTAAATGTTGAAATTAAAAATAATAAATTAGAATTCAGAATTAATTTGAATTAATTTTGGACTAAATGCTTTGAATGATTTACCTCAATTAGATTGGCGAATAATTAAAGCCATTTTTTGTACCTGATCTGTAACGATAAATTGAACAACCAGCGGCGAAATAACTGAAAAAATACTCGTGCATCCGTTACTCAAAGCCATCAGCATGCCGGAATGATTTGGAGACAAATCGATGTGGTTGACTTGAAATCCGCAAAATCCTGCTCCAATAGCGCCACCAACTAAAATTAAGATTCCTACGGATAGATAAGCCTGATCTTCCGTAATAAATCCGATAGATAATAATCCGAGTGCAGGACATAAAGTACCTGAAAAATATGTTTAGATCAGAGTTGATAATTTATGCGTTTTGGACTTACAACCTAAAGCACACGTTTTTTTCTGAAAGCCGTTTGTATGAGTTTTTTGTTCCTTATTTCATTGAGGTTTCAAAATCATGTTTGCCCAACAGAAAATTGGATAATGTTTTTTTTAGTAATTTATTAAGCTTTGTGGACGATGATCGGTTGTCTAGTTCAATGAAATGGTTGATCTGGTTCAATGAAATCAGATAGTCTTATCTGATGGAAATTGGAAATACTTACCAATACTGTGGAATAGTTTCCGTGCGTTTCCTCTGCTCATCCAAGCCTTGTTAATTAATAGATCACAGACAGTGCTAAATACGAATGACAATATCCACATAGCCAGATAAGGCGCAGCTGATAAAGCAGCATTCTATAATTTATGATTTTCAGTTTAATATAAAATCCCTGTTTTTTTTAATATGAAAGCCCTGTTAATTATAAAATACCTACCGATCTTATGTCGAATTTCAAAATTTTGTTCAAATATGTGGGGGTTTGAGTCAGGAGAACTGAGCTGCCCCAGTTTACCCCAAGATTTGATACAATTAGCGCCCAGACTGGCATGGACTTCAGTATATCTTTCCAAGGTATTTTTTGTTGCTGCAATAATCGGTTCTATTCAAGTCTGTAACTTCTACCTCATAGTTTTTACCGGTTCGCCGCATTGTCCTAAGCTGTTTTCAATGTAATCTTTTTCCTTCTGACTTATGTTCGTGTGGCATTTTGGGCGATCGAATCCAAAAAACATCCATATTAAACTCCAACTAAGCCCGAAAGCTCCCCATAGATAAAAGGAAAATGGCCATCCCATCCAGTGTGAGCAAATTAGGCCGGTAATTGGCATTGATACGATGTTTCCGAATACAGAGCCTGTGTGAAAACGACATATTTTTATTCATATCGTTTATGTACGATATTCGTACACTGGGGGGTTCTTAAATAGACATTATTTTTACCACCTGCATATGCAAAAGTTCCAATTCTTGATCGTTCCGAAGGAGGGGCCCAGTGTCCTAAAAGAGTGTGAATCGAAGGAAGAAGGAATCCTTGTGCTAAACCTTGTGTAAACCGGCAGAGCATCACTCCTTTTGAGCCAAAATTATTCGCCATAGTAGGAATTGTAATACAAGCTGTAGAATCTACTATTGTGGTACCTATGAAGTTGATGCTTTCATTAATTTACGGTTATTTTATTTTTTGGAAATAAAAATCGTTTGCTGAGAAAAATGGCAAGACAAAAAATAATTTAAGTCAGAATATTTACCCACTAGAATCCATTTGATTCCATATTTTTTGCCAAAGTGAGCAGCTGGTACTTGACAAATTATATATCCCCAAAAGAATGCGGATAAAACGATGCTTTGATCTGTCCAGTGATAGACCTGTATGTAAAAATGACTAATTATAATTTTCGTTCAATCAGTCTCAGTTAAGTCAAGAATGGTTTCGAAAATGAACAGTCCTTGGTTATATTATTAGAAGTCAAATTATTTAAATTTTGTTCACTAATCGCTTATGATTTGTAAACATGAAATGAGATAATTGAATACCATATATATGTGTACTAAAAACAGATGACACCATGATTTAATAAATTATTGAAACATTCAGAAATATTAAAAATAAATAAATTATTAAAATAGTAAATTAGTTAGTTGTGTACTCACCGGTACATCTGGGTTTAAAGTGGTACTATTATCATTCATGGCCACAATAGCTACAGAAAGTACCGATCTCATGCAATATGAGTACATCATTAGTAAAAAGTAGAGAAACATTTGTATATGCCTGCATCCTAGCAAAGACTCTGAAAATAATTTAGAACAATAACTCAATTACTATTTTTAGCTACTTTAATTGATTTTCTGTTATTTTTTTAAAAAGCTTGTTTGGAAACAGTTGAACCTGTAAAAAACACATTATCCAAATCATGTCAGTTTACGTGAGAGGAAAGCAAGAAGATATCATAAGAAATGTATCCAGGTCAACCATTAGCATTCTCCTCAGTTATCTACCTGCTTAATTAATATCTAAATAAATTCAATGATTAATTTACTATTACTAGTCGGTTAATTAATTCACTCGGAAATATTTCCCAAATGGTCTGCTACCGGGAGTGAATGGTAAAATGGATAATTGCGAGTGATAACTTGAGTGAATATTAGCACCTTACCTTTGCTTACTGCTACCTGATTGTTATTGGATTGGTCATCTATTTTTATGGAACTCGAGCAACAGTACAACTTCATTATAATCCAAGATCGACGATTACTTTAAAACAACTTTATTTCTAACGTCAATACTGCGAAAACCTGTGCATTTCCGGAGTCAAATTGATAACTCTACCTATGTGAAATAGATACAAATTATTACCTGTGTAACTGGAAATTAATAGGCTAGTAGACCAAATTATTTTATATGGAAATTGCCGTATAATTTGGGTGTTATCAATTGGCCAACTGAAAATATGTTTAATGTGCAAAGTTAATGGCAGAAAATTGGAATTCATTTAAAACTTCAAATAGTTATAAAGTCATATAAGAAAATCGAACTATATAAAAATATTTGAAAACTTACCTCCTTCTGGTGCAATTTTTTGTTGTTCACATTAACTATATCCTGCATAATTACTAATGCTTTATATTCCGCACGGTAACTCTATGGCGATAAAGTGCATTTTTACGATGTAGACATTTGATTTTTTGGCAATTTCCTGACAAGACTGCACGTGGAAAACAGCAATGAAAATTTCGACACCTTTTTCAATAGCTCACTACAGTAAAACACGACTTCTAATTACCATGTTCTCGGGGCACTTTTATCGCAAAAATATTAATAAAACTGCCATAAAATTGCTTCGCTCGGAGATATTTCCATTGAACAATGGCAGACAAGATTGTTTTCGTAAAGCTGATTAAGACATATTTTAGACGTTAGTTAATCGAAGGAGGTGACCATTTATTGAGTAAGGAAGGCAATTTTCAATGACTAATGCGGCATTGCCTAAATACAAGTTTAGTAGAGCAAATCTGAAGAAATCGCAGTGGAAACGCCGTGAAGAAGTCTTTGAATTCTCATTCATTTCTAGCGACATTCAAATCAGATTAACATCTATATTTAATTATCTACAACTAGCCTAACTCCGGAAAGTTAGGCAAAAAACTTCCTTGAAAATTATTAGTTCAGATGGTCCAAGATACACATTGCGCTTGGTTAGTTCGATTTTTGTATGTTTGCCTTTCTCAATTTCGTGGCATTTTCATTGTAGACTTTAACTTAAGCTAGCCAATGAAAAATTAGCTATGAAAACATTGCATAAAGTACTTTACTGAATTCAACAATTATATAATGTCGTGGCAAATCTCAGAATTTCTATAAGATGCTTCCTGTTCCGTCATGCGGTCACAAGTTTAATTAAGTTTGTTATCTGCTGCATTAAGTTGTCTGATTATTGAATAAATATCATCAAGCCAAAGTTTACTGGTAGCACTATTTTGTCGCAAATTTTACCATTCACTGCAGAGATTGGATGAAGCTTTTTGATTCTACCTGTAATATTGGAATTTTCATGTGTTTATTTGCGCCTTTGCTAATCTTAGCATACTTACTTTTTCTTGAACATAGTGAATTGTGGATATTATATTATGTGAACAAAAATGCTTTTGATTCGTTACGAAGAATTTATTGTAAAATCTTGATGATTTCACCGCTGTTATAAATTGCATATTATTTAAAAATCAATCCCACAGCAATGCAAATTCTTTAATCTTTGAATTTCGGTCTGTATTGTTAGTGCAACGAGTAAAACTCGTAATTTGTTGGGTTCTTTTTAATATAAAAAATACTATTTTAACACTATGCTAACACTAAGATTTTTTTCCTCCACTCGGTCCGCAATAGGGATAGTACTGTTGCTAATCTCATCTTCTCCTACATTGTTCCACCATTGGATCTCGGCTTCTGCGTATTTGATGTAGAAAATATCGGATGCCACGTATACACCAGCGGCAATCAGAAATACTATCCTCCATTGCGATGCGTCTGTCTAAAACCATTCAAAATCAATTATCAGAAAATCGAATGCGAAAAATGATTCTGAATTTACCAGATCTGTAACATATAACTGTACAAAATTTGGCGCCAGAATTGAGAAAATACTCGAAGATCCATTTGCGATTCCCATAAGTACTCCGGAGAATTTCGGGGACAAATCGACGTGGTTTACTTGGAAACCACACCAAATGGCTGCATTGATTCCCACAGCTATAATCAGTACACCTTCAATGATTCCGACATTGCTCTCGGGATTAGGAATAAATCCGAGAACGGACAACGCTAGAGCAGGCCCGAACGAACCTAAAATAAAAAAATGGCATGATGATATTTCTACCAATTGGGTCCCATTTAAGAACCCAATTGTCAATGCATCGGTTAATGTTGCATAAAAGCTTATTCATGTACTTCCACCTCGGAAAGTTGGTTTTTTACTAAACCCAACGAAATTAGTGGAGGATCCAAAGTAGCAAGAAATGTCAACCAAACCTTGTATTAGAAGCAGTTGTATTAGAAGTAGTATATAATTATATAGTAGCAAATCTTTGTAGTATATACAATGTAGATCTATTCTAAAGCCTGTAAGGATCTTAACCACAAGTTGCGTTTTTTCCAGAATACTTTAATAATTATTTAATGTTTGAGAGAAGATAGATTTATAAAATATTTTTTATCTAATCTACCACCTACTAACATTTTTGCGTGATTTCATCTTGGGTATAAGAACAGTCTTTTTCTTGACATTAATATATTTGTCAAAGCGCAACTTACCAATTGTATTCATTAATTTCCTCGTCTGACGAGTAGTCAGTAGCTGTTTTTGAACAATCCAATCCGCTGTAGGACCGAAACACAATCCCAATAAGAATAGTGCTAAGTAGGGGGCAGCAGAAAGCAAAGAGTTCTAAAATCGTTTAAATTCCTAGAATTAGGAATTTTATATCAACAATTCCATTTACCTCTGATATTGGTTGATTTGCAACTTTGCTCAGATAAGTGGGTATCTCCGTCAACAACGTAAAATAGCCCCAGTTTTGCCCAGAGTTTGCAACTACTATAGCCCAGAACGGCATCGACTTGAAAATTGGTTTCCACGGTGTATGTGGAGGCTGTAATCCTGTAAAAATTTAATACATTTTGACTAATTTCTTTACCAAGACGCTTAAACCTCTTTCTGTTCAATGTCTCCTATAGATGATTGAATATAAAATTGTTCTTCTTTGGTAATATATTTGTGTTCTTGAGGACTATTTGCGCCAAATATTGTCCAAATTATGCACCAAAGTAATCCTATTATACCGAATAGGTAAAATGCCCATGGCCATCCTGCCCAACTGGCTGAAATGTAGCCAGTTACTGGCATTGCAACGATAGTACCAAACGCTACACCTTAAATGAAATAAAAATTAGTAAATGTAAATAACCCAGCGGGAAAAAACAGTCTGATAGTCATTTTAAAATTTTTGAAGATGATTTGTAACATTTCCTACAATCGATAAAGTATGTTAGAATTTACCTGTAAATATCATGTTTCCCAGTGTAGTTCGCTCTTCTTTTGGAGCCCATTTTCCTAAAATGTTGTGCACGGAAGGGAAAAAAAATCCTTGAAATAACCCTTGCATAATTCGAATTGCCATGACTCCATATGATCCCAAATTTGCAGCAGTAATAGGTGTCAAAATGCAGCAAACTAATAAAACAGAAGTTCTTATTCGATAAAAAGATATATTGGAAAAATTTGGTATACTCGTTTTCAATAATTAATATAATTGAGTTAACGTACCTGAGTTAATAACCATTGCAACTACAACAAGCCACTTTACTCCAAATCGTTTTCCAAGTTCCCCAGCAAAAACTTGTAAACACACGTACCCGATGAAAAAGGACGACAAGATAAAATTGGTGTTTTGCCAATCATATATCTGAAAATTTTGGAATATAAAATAAAGATTTTGTGGTTTTTTTAACATCTGTTGTTTCACTTTCCTAACTCTGGGATGTTAATCTAAGGTTTATTAATTTCATAATAGAAGAGAAAGAAATAAATATACCTAGTGAGCATATTTAGCCCAAGAGTGTTGAACTGTTTAGCTAACTATCTTTATTGTAGAACAATCAAATTGAATATCTGATTATGTTGTTGATTGTTTTTAGGACAGAGTTCGTAAATTAATCTCTAAAATGGCGTACTATTTTGAGGAGAACTTTGTTGAAAACGCCTATAATGGATACAATATTGGTAAAATTGCTTCAAAAGCTGGGTTGCTTATTGCAGTTTTATCTATTTCCAAAAAAGTTATTCCGAATTAACTTGTTCCACTATTGTAAACAGCTGTTGGAAAATATTTATCAGATCAGAAATATGCAAAATTTAATCATTTAGCTTGATTACGATTTGGATTGATTGCGTTTTAAACCTTCTAGTTTTATTAAACAATTGATTAAAATATGCGTATCAAAACAACAAACCAAAAATTGAAATATTATTCCACTCAAAGATTATTAGTAGAACCACTGATTCATATCAGGTGTACTAGAAAACCTGATGTTCTTAACACTCACACAGATCAAGACGTTGAACTTTTTGCTACTGTTTTGCTTTTTTTTGCAGGGTTCCAATATACCACGATATTGACAGACTATTAATATTATTAGTCGATCCAAAAGTGATAAATTAAGCCATATTATTATACGCATTTTTTTCCGTAAAATTTTCTTACCGGTATATCCGGATTCTTGCTGGACGCTTTAGTCATAGCCACTATACCTACTGATAGATTAACCCTCATGGCATATCCGATTGCAAGCAGAAGGAACATAAGCATTGCTTGGAAGTGTCTGACTCCTATAGAAGGTCCTAGTAAAAAAAATAAAGAAGCATTACATCTATTTTCTATGAATAAAATAGTAATGTTTGTTACAAAACAGTACATCGCGTGCCACTTACCATTATTCACTATTTCTGCTTCTGAAAACTCTGGTTCCAGTTTCGATTTTGTTTTGATATCCTTCATTTCTACTTTGTGGTTATTTCACTGTTCTTTGGAAATAGTTCGTCTTTTCTCGCTGAATCGTTGCTTTTTAGTTCAAGTCTTTACCTATTACATCTGCTTGCAACCATTACTGAACTAATTTTTGCGAATTGATAATTTAAACCGGCTTGCGCTCAATTGTGCACAAGTTTGCTCTTTCAAGAATATGTCAATGAAATGATTGAAAACCATTTTATAAATTACTTCTTATATTATTAATCTAATTCCTCAAAGATGAAGATAAGTTGAGTAGATTTGAAGTATCATAGATTTCTTTCAAAACAATTTATTGATAAGGAAATTTGCAATAAGCGTCGATTCTACGTCATTAATTTTAATACAAATCATTCATACACAAAAGTACTAAGTATATTTTTTATCCTTCTTGTACATTTTATATGCACAAATGTGCCAACTCATAATAGATTGAACTTATATTACACTTCTGACCAACCATAGATAGTTGAAACATTTAACCTAAATCCTTTTCCTCTTAATTTTTTATTTTAATTAAAAACCGCCTTGCGCGTTATTTCAATATATTTGAGTAAAGGTTAGTATTATAGTGTTATTTACGCCAACTTTTAATTTTCATCTAGTATGATGTTTCGGAAAAGTGTGTCTTAACGTTATAATTTTTTAGGCATTTAACTATGTATTTCGTAATTTATTGTTACGCATTAGCACGCTAAGAAGTTTTCTTTTCGAGTTAAAATTTCAACTTTTAACATAATTCATTAATTATTAGGCTCAATTGACGTGCAACATATCATTATATCAGCTGTTCAAAGAATAAGAAACTTGGAATTTTATTGGTAATTTTTCCATATTTTCTAAGTGTTATTAAAACTGACGCATAACTACTAATCGGAGCCAATTCTGAATTCTGAAGTGTTCAGTTGTTAGCGCCATTGTTTGTATTTATCAATCAATTTGACAAATATTTTAATAAAAAACAATTCAGGTCGCATGGTAAACAATATGTTTTAAATGTCAGCAACCAATACTATTTGATAAAAAAAGTTATTCAGAGCTCGACACGAGAACAATTCAATTCAATTTCCTTTAATTTGCTGCTTTATCAATTATAATAATTTATTACTTCCGTTTGAAAATGAGAACCATTACAGTGAAAAACATCAAGTTATTCTTAAAAATTGCTTTGTGGCAGCACCTTAAAAGTACTTTCTAGTTCTGTGCAGTTTTATGAAACTATTATAGTATTAATTTACTGTTATTTTAAAACGATATATCTATTTTATCGCGAACTGTAACGTTCTGACAGTGGCAGTCAATTATTTTTCGTCTTCTATTACGATTTTTTTTATTTATCTCCAAAACGTTTTTGACACATTGTATATGCCGCTCTATTATAATTTTCCCAAGTGGTACTAATGAATTTTATCTACTTACTTTAATTAATTAATCTTTCACGTTCTCTTCGGCAATAAGTATTGGCTTTGTTTCCTAGCAGTGAAATGTATGAAAATTATAATGTGTGATCAAATATTGTGAAATTCGGTCAATCACTTTAGCAAAAGAGGACAATTGCTCGCAGAATTAGAATCACGCAGTTTTCAAGCCATAGATTAGAAAACACTTTGCTTTGTTATTGTGATGTTATGTTAAGTTCAATAAGTTTTTCTAGATAAGTAATCTTTTGGAAAACGTGGTCGATAATATCTGAAGTACCATACGTATTTATCTAAATGAGATACAGTGAGATGCAGCTTAGTGTTGAAAGCTTTCCAAAAATCTGGCCCAGATCAAGCTACTGAACCAGCCGGGAATTTGAACCGATTGCCCAATTCAGACATACGATCCCTGACAACTATACGTTCGGACGACGCCCGAAATTCTAATTGAATAATCTAATCTAAGTTTGAAGTATTTGAATAAGGTTTAGTTTAAATATATTTTTTTCTTTAAAGTTCAAAAATAGGGTCTCATGCAAGTTCCCCATCATACAGCAAGATTTTAGCGCATTACTTTTTCATTTCTCAACAACTACATAATGAAATAGTAGAAATTAAAAAGAAATGAGAAATAAATATTCGGAAGTATTGGCCGGGAAAATCAAAATTACGCTGATATCTGATAATAAACTAAGTGTGTTTAGATTAACATCTGCCAGTTTGAGTTGGATAAGTTTCATACTTTCACATAAAGGCATGCTAAAATAACGCGTCGTGTTGCAACAGATATAAAGCTACGATAAATTATAATTTCTCAATACAGTAAAAGCAAATAAATGCAGAAAATTTGAAATAATCTAAACATTGTTCATTGTGTTATAAAAAATTCGGGGAGACTGCTAGTGTTGCTGTTCGTGGTAAAAGTTCAGGCCGACTCCGCATTATTTCCTGAAAGAGAACGTTGTGTACTTGTAAAGATCCGCAGATCCCACAGAAGAGGCACCCTACGACAAATTCAAGCTCAGTGGAACCAGGAAACAAATAATCTGGTTACAATTTTTATAAAGAAGGTTTATTAATTTATGGGGTTCAATATAAAAATTATTTTTTTATCTCCTTTCGGTTTAGGCAAAGGAGAAGCCACTATTTTCAGCCATCCAAAAGCAAAAACGTTTTAATTGGGGTAAATCTAAAATGTCCTTTAGAACGGAAATAATTCGTAACGTAATTTTTAGTGCGGAATCAAAATATGATGGTGTGAATGTGTGATTTTCGGAAAAAACTGATTTGAACAAAATCAGTATAGTAAGCTTATTGGCAAATATGAGTTTGTTGATGGAACTGTAAATGCAGAAGCACCAATAAATTTTACCAAGAAGTTTAATTTCAACCATGGAACAATATTCTGGAAGTAAAAATTGCATATTTCAACAGGATGGTGCGCTTTTTCACACAGCTAAAACGACCAAAAACTGGATTGGAGATTATAATTTCAAAGATTTATTGTGGTTCTCAAGCACCCGGACTTGAATGTCATAGAAATTCTATGACATCAAATGAAGAACTATTGCGTAACGATTCTCAGCCAACAGTTCCGGGATTAAAGGCAAAAACAAGTGAAATTTGTAATTTGCTCACTCCAGAATATTGCCAGACTCTAGTGGATTCAAAGGCAAAACGCATAAAAGCCGGTCAAAGACGAAATGTGTTGTTACTTCTTATTAAACTTCGCTTTAATATAGTTGTATTAAAGTGCGTCCGAATATTTATTTGTCAGGAAGTGTGTTAAATTTTTGCTAATTTGCTATAGAGAAAAAGCAAAATAAAAAAATGTCTTCCATCGTCAGCGCTTATGCTGCGTAAAGGTATATTGGAATAATTTTTCAGTAGAACAAGCAAAAAGAAATATATAAAGGGCTTATTTTCTACTCATTGAACATCGTCGTTTGGCGTATACCGCGTGTCAATTTGAAAACTTCCCACTCTTAATATCTTTCTTGCAGTTGAAAATATGAAAAATTGGAAAGACCCGTCAATTTCATTTGTAAGGGGGACACTTTAAATTAATATTTTTAGCCTCCCTCTAGGACGGGTTAGAATCTTAAATGGGAAGGGGGGTCAACTGACACATCGTTTTAAAGGGCGTTCAATTCTCTTTATATTAGTTATTATTTTGTTGCTTTTTATCCAGAGGTTTTCAAATAAGAGCGTTTCAAAATTACAGAAACAATTAAACTTACCTCCATTGAGATTTTGGTTTTCAGATTAGTGTTTAAACAAAAATTATATTGAAACTAATGGGTTTTTCGGGCTTTTAGGCCGTCGTTGGGTAGAATTTCTACTCGGGAATGGCCTCGGAAGTCTATCTCTTCTGATAAAAATTGTATTATTGGGTTTCCTTATAGTACAAATGATTATAATATTCGGATATACCCTTAAAATCGTTGAATCACAGGAAGAAAATCTAGATTAAACAATTGATTTCGTGGCTCGTAATTTGTACGCATTGTTCTGATCCTGTTGTTGACTAGTACAAATTATATCTTTTACAGTTTTCACTTGGCTTTACACGGTCCGTGACCAGATGACAATGTAATAGGGAGTTTGATTAGTTTTACTACGGAAATCCACAAAATTTGAATTGTTTTAATGAACTTCATTATAACAAAAGCTTAATCAATATTCTTTTAATTTGTTAGTTTTAACATCATACTGGAAATACTCAAGTGTGTTGTCAATGTTCACACTTTTTTATCCAAGTTTTTATCCAACATTCTTTCAGGCATTCAACATTTTCGATTAGAGATTGACGCACATTGATAATTTGTCATAAAAACTGCGATATATTTTCGCATAAGTATCAGTTAATTAACCCTTACTATCAATGACTATTACTAGATTATATTACTTCATTTGTGCTCTAATAACTAGTTCATTTATAATTTCCATTATAACTGTAAATTATTTCTATTCGTCTGAAAAATGGAGACCACACTTAATGTTTCAAATAAAGCAGATTCACTTGATATCTTAAATGACAATCATTTGCCGATATCTGGCGCTATTGTAAGACGTAATTTCATTTCATGTACTTGTACTCACTGTTAGGTGATTTGAAATAAAGAGGGATTATTATTATTATTATTATTCTGATTTACTTTCCTGACTGCGTGTACTTGTTATGATATTCCTATCTTTCCTGGGTTTCAGTCAAAGTGTGAAGTAAAAATTTTTAAACATCGTATATTTCATTCCGTTTCGGCGAGATAACAGCGCCATCATCAGATTTAGAATTTTACACAAACTACAAACACCAATTCACAATTAAAACATGTTGTATAAAATTTATAATTTACAAAGTGTTAAAACGTTCATCAGTTTTTGAGGGAAAAAAATTCTTCCTTCTGGGAGAGCAAAACCTTTGGGGATGGATAAATGTATAGCAAACGAAAGTTGGATAAAGAATTTGACAACAATAAAGATACCAAATCCGGTAATGTATATTTTATCGCTTGGACTAAAGTTTTCCCTAAATAAATCTCAATATAAACCAATTGATAACATCATAACAAACGTCGAAAATGGAATCTTTTCACTAAACAATGAACTAAAGATGAATGTCAGAAACAAATTATGTAACATATTAACAAATATTAAAAATCAAAAAAACAACAAAAAAAATAGAATTGAAACTAGAATAGACAGACTGATATGTGAAACAAAGCAATGGGTCCTAACAGCAGATAAATGTAATAAAACAGTAATTATGCTTAAAAACGAATACCAAACTATACAAATGCTAGCCTTACTAAATGACATCAATACATATAAACAGGAAAAAAAAAAGATTTAACCAATAATATACAAATAAAACTAAAAAAAATAATACATTTTTGGTTTAAAGAGAACTATGTAACTGAAGAAACAAAACGAACACTGTACTTCAGTAACGGCCAAGCACCAGTAATATACGGACTACCTAAACTTCATAAAAACAACATACCATTATGACCAATCGTTAACAATATAGGCACACCAACTTACAACTTATCAAAGTTCCTCTCCACAATTCTAAGAAATGTCTTAGGTCAGTCAGAATATCATATTAAGGACTTTTGGAATTTTTGTGAATTTATCAAAAACCAAAAAATACTACATAATGATGTGATGATGTATAAGAAATAAATGGAAGGAAATCGAACAACATACAACAATTCCAGAAAAATAATTTATTGAAGCTGTAGAACTATGCCTAAAATCTACATATTTCAAGTTTGAAAACAAATATTATTCACAAATATACGGTGTAGCAATGGGTTCCCCCATATCAGCGAC